CCCACAGACTGGCTTCACGCCGGTTGCAAGCCTCGCCAAGTCTTGGACCGTGGGAACACAGCCGGCCATGGTTTGCAGGCGATTATTAGGGGGGGCAGTGTAAGGAGAAGGAGAAGCCAAAGCGAGCACGTGCTCCGACAGCTCCTGCCTGGTTTCTCGCTAACACAAGAAGGAAAAAGAAACAGAACAGAATGAGACAAGAAAGTTGTGGTATTTTAAAGGGGTTTAAATTTCGCGATGACATTCCATGGACATTTCGGTTAGAAACAAAGGATTTTTACTTTATAAGAATCTGTATATCATAGCCATACACGAATATTACGGAAGTTAATATTAATTAGAGAACGTTGGGTTATGCCATATTTGAATGAAATACTTTTTGAAAGAACGAAGCAGCGAATTTTAGACCACGTACAAATAGATTCTTGTGACGCACAGAAGGAAACTGGCGAGTGTTCGACCACCTGCCAGATTTTCCCACAGTCAGCCAGAGGAAGTGTGCGAGAGAGAGGGAGGTAGTTGGAAACGATTCCATTGATACTGGGTCTGAGTCAGCGGCAGATGAAGGTTGGCACAGATTGACCCCAAGTCGCGGAAGTGCGGAGGAACAACTGAAATAACCTAACCTCACACACACGACTGGGATAAGGTCGCCTTTTGTTGTTATCAATTGGACCGCTCGAACGCTGAAGAATAGGATCGTACCAAAAAATCGGTTATTTGGACCAAACTTAATCTGTACTTGCTGTTCGAATTTCTGATCAAGATGACACCAGCGATTTTTAATTTTAGTAGTAGATTTGTGGGACCAAATTTTGCATTATTTAGAATTGAGAGGGTCTGGGTAGATTTTCGACCCGGAAGTCGCTAATCCTGATTTGGGATTATCATGGGTTTCCTTGGTCACATCAGGCAAATTCTGCAACATTATTCCGAATCCATGATGAGGACTTATGAGGGGCAAGGCTACAAGATACGCCGTTCACTGTGATAGGTATGAAATTTCATTGAAATTAGACACGTGCTTTGGATGATGAAACGTGGACACGTAGACGAGATCTCCCATAAACGGAGTGTGAATTTCGTACAAGGACCCCTCTTTTGTTTGCTGGAACATCATTCATTCATATGCTAATCACATCAGAGAAGCTCGGTATATATAATACGCGACTGTAATCTTGAGACTTGCAAGGAATGCAGGAAGTCCGAAGCCTTCCTCATTCACTCCACAAGTCTCAAGATTACAGTCGCTTTCCTGTAAGGAAAGGGACAAGCTGAAGATGGCTGTCTTCTGGATTGTTACGCCGTGTAGTCTGGTAGAAGTTTACAGACGTTTCAGAGGTCCTTGCCGCCTCCATCATCAGGGCGGTGATGGAGGCAGCAATGACCTCTGAAACGTCTGTAAAATCCTGCATGTGTAACTGTTTTATCCGAGGATGAAATTGAAGTCTACGGGTGTGGTGAACTTTGTATTTCTTTGGTAAAACACATTCTGGGCTGATATGGACAGTCACGGACTACAAGGAGTAAGCCTTTCCAATCTTTTGACGTAAATACGTCTATACGGAAGGGTAATTCGGTAAAACAGCGTTAGGAAAATGTGTAAGATCCATAATGATCAGCTTTTATATGAACTCCTGCGTTCATAACAATTCTTTACTCCTTTACCTAAGAAACTAATTGTTACGTCATCTGTTTACTCGGCATTGTTATGTTTCATTACTGACGTCAACAATCCGCTTTCGTTATTGCGGAAAGAGCTGAGTTGTGAATCGCTTGTAGAAAAAGTGCGTCGTAGAGTAGATAATTTTGTGCTGGTAAAAACGTTTTAGAATATCACAAGAACTTATCTTATATAAGAATTATTTCAGAGACGTATTTACGTCAGATTCTCCGGAACCGTGGTTCCACTGTCAACTTTTTTTTTGGTAAGAAATTTGTAATTAGTCACATCAGTGTTGTTGGAATCAGTATCATATTACAAAATTATTGGAAAGTCCGGATGAAGGAGGATGAGATCTGGTCAGATGACAAATGCATCTCTTTCCGGTATATTTGTAATGGTGGCAAGGACTGAATTCTTAAATATTATTCGGAGTTAGTTTTGCTTGAACCACAGCTTGGTCCTTATAAAAGGATCTTGGTCTGTCCTATTCACAAATCGACAGATCTTAACGAAATTATTCCGGCAGCTGAACGTCTCCTTTAACACTCTGGTTGAAACGCCTTCACGTCTCAGTTACTCCAGTAGCATATTCAGAAATTCTTCAAGCACTTTTTTTTCCACAGTCATTACAACTCCCCTTCATCCCTTTGGCGATAAGTGTTCGTCATGGCTCTCCTCTCCCCTTTGCCTCAATTATCCGATGGAGATGCCTTAGTCGTCTTCTATCTCGCGGGCCAGTCGTCCAATCAGGAGCGCGCGTGGCGTGGAGACAGCTGCAGTACGAAGCAAAGCCAACCTCCCCCTCTCTTGGCTGACACAGGTGGCGGTGTGCATGTGGGAACGTGGTCCTCGTTCATTTTCCCACGATCGTAGAGGGCCACGGGCCTGGCACACACCTGGCTCGTCTATAAAACAGCCAGCGATAGTTCCCTTTTGACTATTCTGTTGCCTGAGCTCGTGGTGGTGTTGTGTGTTCCAGGACGAAGCCTCAACGTTAATATCAGAACAAGTTGTGTGCAGTGACATATATATAAAGACAGTTGTTGAGTTTATTTTGAAATCGAGAATGCTTCAGGATAACATTGATATGGAACAACTTCAACCGATTTCCAGAACTTACCAGTACAGAAAGGTGAGGATGTGTGTACATTTATTTTTCTGTATTAAACGCCGTCTTAAGTTTAATAATTTCGAAATACTTACGAAATTTTACTTCCGTTATAGGATTCGTGTTTTATCGTTAGAGATAAGTCATTTTTTTGTTTTTTAACATCCGTTATAAATATGTTTTGCGTTAGTTACGAGATGTTTATTCAAAGTATTCATTTTATTATTAATTTTGTAAAGCTTTGGGAAGTTTGGTTTTTAATATTTGATTATCGTGTTATTTTGATTAATCGAAATTGTTGTCTAATGACATTACGTTTTTTTTATTATGGTCTAGATTACAGTTTTATTAATTTTTCAATTTGCATTCAAATCTTTTTTCCCTGGTTACTCTTCCGTACGTGATTTCAGATTTTACTCCGATTAACTTTCAATTTTGCAACGCTAAAGCGTACTTTGGTGGAGTGACGTTTCTTAATATGTTGTAAATTTTAACACGCTCGTTCTGTTCTTCTGCGCAGGTTATGAAGCCGATGTTGGAACGCAAACGTCGAGCCCGGATAAACAAATGTCTGGACGAGCTGAAGGACCTCATGGTGTCAGCATTGCAAGCCGAAGGTGAAAACGTCAGCAAATTGGAGAAGGCAGACATTCTTGAGCTAACAGTGCGTTACCTCCACAAACTAAGACGTCAACAGCGTCTCTCCGCTAACCCAGTAACAGACGCCGATCGTTTCCGCGCTGGTTTCACCCACTGTGCTACAGAGGTCTCCCGCTGCCTAGCAGCTACACCTGGGGTAGACGTGAAACTGGGGACAAAACTCATGACACACCTTGGACATCGCCTTAATGACATGGATAAGATGTCACCGTTGTCGGTACAAGTTGGCCTGCCATCGAACCCCGCCGCTGGCTACAATACACCACCAGGGTCACCGGCGCCGGCTCTCAGTAGTTCCAGTGAAGGGACCATGGCGGCAGCACCGGCTTCGGTCATAACAACCGCGTCATATTACGTCATGCCACTTACACCAGCGTCTTCGACGTCGTCGGCTGGTTGTTTAAGAAATTCGACGTCACCAACGTCCGCTAACATTAGTCCTGACTGTGGTGGTGGTCTGCTGAAGCTCGCGGATGTCACAGTAAAGAACGAGTCATCTGAACCGATCTGGCGGCCTTGGTAATTGAACGAAATTTAAACATTTATGGACAATTAAAGCTGATTTTATTTTGTACGATAATGGGATTCCATGGTGATATGTATAGGTGGTATTTTGGGGTCATTGTGTCGTGTATTTTGGTGTTGTATCAGTGGGTTCGAGGCTTGTAATGTCTTCGTCTTCAGCCCACAACCAAAATAATTCTATACGGCACAGTTTCCCAGAAAACGTACGTCAGATTTTATTTTATTGTTACAGTTAATTTGTAGACCACATCCTCTGTAGTTCGCTTGAAACTTGCAACTGATGTTTTATTTTTAAAATTAATCTTGCAGTCATGTTTACTAAGAATGCTCTTTGTTTTTAATAAGACGTTTCAACATCCGAGACGTTTAGTAGGATTTGGTCTATGAGTTGAGTGTAGTTTTGTAGAAATTATTTTCCAGTATGGGTTATATGATAATCAGACTTTGCTTTTGATAAACTGGTTTATTTTAATCGAAGCAGGGGCATCTCACTATAAAGTCTTTCGTATTTTTAACAAACGCACTTGAACTGATTATAAATGATTTATATTTGCTGGTGAGTTATAGAAAAATAGTTCCAAAATTGTGTGTGAATGACTGAATGATTCAATTGTTTGTTTGGTTAGATTTTTCCGAGTGCCTGTTACGATACGTGTCTAAATATTGCTCAATTTGATAAAGAGTCGGAAGTAGTGAGCTCGGAGCCATTGTGTATGTTGATTAAGTTTATAAATGTTTTCCGAATGTGCGAATGTTCGTTATTGAGAATGTCAAATTTTTTGTACATAACCTAATTCTTTTTCTCACGAGAAAAGTCGTTGTTGAATTGCTTATTGATCTCATATCTGAGTTGGTTCAAAACTGTTTCGTGGTTTTAATGTTGACCACTTCATAATATTTCAGTGCCTTTAATAACAACAGCGTAACAGTAAACAATATAACAATTATCTTTTATAGCTTTAATTAGACTGAAATTCATTATGGTGACATTTTGAAGTCTTGTTATAATCTTTGTAATTACGAATATGAACTATGCATAGTATTTTGTTTGCCTTTCGCAGCAATCAAAGCTGTTTTTGTGATATCGACTTGTACCTGTGATAAATATAACAAATGTTTATTATTTAAGAAAAATCTTTGAAATTAGAAATTACATTGGAGAGTTGATTTTGTATTACAAGCTATTCTGTGATACGAATACAAACAATAATTAATGAAATTAGTGGCAGTGTTGTCATTTTCCCTTTAAGGTTTTGCATCCTACAATCCTACTATCCTACATGTGGTGGAAGTTGCACCTTGGTTTTTTCTGTTTCAGGGTAGGGACTGGTAGGGGGCTCTTGTGAACACTGTAATGAACATTTTGGGTTCCATAAAGGCTAGGAAATTAATTTTGCTGTGTTTGGATTTAATTTCTGCCGAACTGATTACTACAAGAGTTTTAGAATTGCTAGATGTAAAAATGCTAACAAAATTTAAGTTTTTCACGTTTTTGTTCAGATGTCTGAAATGACATATTGCTGATTATTGCGCAAACTTTGGGATGACGAATGCTATTTCGTGCGTGTATGTACTGTCAAACTTCTCCAGATGGCAGTAGTAGATGGGACCTCTTTTACTGCCATCTATAGGCAGATACTATGTTGAAGCTGCACTTACTGCCATCTGTGAGAAAATTTATAAGTAGCAAAGGGAAAATTTTCCATCTTTACAGGGATATTAGATTTGTGTAGGTGTGAATCTTTCATTGATAAGATGCATCAATTGCTTAATTATTATATGCTGTTAAAAGCCACATAGACGCGTAATACTTGTCAAGTGTATATGTAAATATTGCTAAATTGGTTACATGTTTTAAAAATTAGAAAGTTAAAGCATCAGGCTGGACAATATTATTTACACATAAATTTCCCTAATAATTTTGATCAATTTTTTTTTTATAATTTGTGTTTACCCAAAAGTTATAATAGAACAAATCCTCCAGATAGGACTTTCTTAAGTTAATGTATCTATGTATCTAATATGCAATATCAGCTATTTTTTTAATATTCCTGGATTTTAGAAGAAAGTGCTGGCCGAGATTTCTATTGACGTAAATTCTGATATTGGTAACACTGAATTACTCGGTTTGATTCCAACGCAAGTAGGGAGGTGTGTTGACACCTGTGAAATATAAGTAATTATTTTTAATACATCTGACGGTGTCAATATTGACATGTACTGAAAGTAGAATGGAGGATCTCCTTTTACAAATTGTTAAAGAAGCCTCCAGTACTAAACTCTGCGTACTACGGAAGTCGGCGCAAGAGGCTCATGGTATGTTGTTGCTGTATTCCAGATGGAAGCTTTTTTAATTATTAACAATCGGTATTTCCGTAAAGTACATGCAGTACAATGAGAGATTTTATGTTACTGAAGTTCTACTCTCTTATCAGGCATTAAACGTCATGCTTTATATTCAGTTTTCGAAAGTTTCATTACCCAAATGATTGGCTACAGAAGGTGAAGTGTGATACAATTTATTTATCACTTATTCATATACCATATAGACGGTGCAAAACCGCCTTACTAAATTTTATTTATATAATTGTCTGGTCCATTTACTGGAATTATTCTGTACTTACAGACTTTCTGGATTCCCAACAAGGTCTGTTACGCGACCCAGCTCATGAGCTGAGAGCAAAATGTCTGCGTGCCTTGCAGCTTGCACTGGAGACGAAACGAAGCAAGTTTGTGGCGTATGGTCTCTCTGGCCTCCATGTAAGTTCTGCCTGCGTGAGGAAGCAGTGAGTGAGTTAACTTCTGCTTGAGAGTGCTGATTGGTTTTGTTGGTTCTTGTGCCCTCAATGCAGGAGGAGACAGCAAGGGGGAACTGTATGGTAACACTCAGAAATAACTGTTGTCTGGGATCTTATGCCATATAGTCTGGTAAAAACTGTCGTGTCATTTCAATGGTGCTTACTGCTCAATTATAAGGGTTGTTGCACTCAACACATTTAAAGTTGATGTGATGTTCTTTTATTTGAACAGCATTGACCACTTGTACTCTGTGACTGTGATGCAATGTGTATTGTGCTGCATTGCAGAAACTCGTTCGAGATGACCGTTTCCAGTCTAATTTTGAGCCGGAAGATGATTCGCTGTGGCTGCCATCACAGCTCCTGCATGCCATGGGTTCAATCCTAACCCATTCGGATGACACACAAGTTGATATGCTGAAGGTAAGCACATGTAATTGTAAATTCTTTACATTCATGTTCAGCTGTAGCCGATGTCATTGGATCACAGACTTAATTATTTCGTATAAAGATCTTTTGTTGTTATCCCATGATTATGTCATCACAGAAATGCTAAAGAAGCCGTCTATATGAAGTGTGACGTGTGATGACAGGTACTTCTGAATGTGGCGTGCAGCAACTATTGGATCATGAACGGAAGAATTATTATCCAGATTCTGACTCTGTGCAGTGAAGCGCACGAGACGGGCAACCAGGCTGTTCGAACAGCTGCCCAGGCAGCCGCCAGTCAGACGCTGCGGTCGTTCTGCAACTTTCTCGGTAAGTGACCAGGCACATCCACTCATTGGTTGCTGAAATCAGTGTCAGAGCTTTTAGGGAGGGGGAAGAGGATTTGGTTCTTCATGCAGGTGTCCTGATGCTTGGTCATTATTGATGATTTTAGAATAAATATCGTTTGATTTCTTTTATCGCTACAGAAGAAGAATCTCAGGAGCTTGATAAGAGTCTGAGACAGACCGGCGCAATCTGTGAGGGAGGATCCGGGGTGTCGTGCTTCAACGAGGTGATTCCCATCCTGCAGTTCATCTGCAGTAAAATGGATGAGGCACAGGCGTGAGTGTTGATGTCTGTAGAAGGCATTGATCGTTATTCTCGTAATATATTTTAGTTATTCTTAAGTAGGTGCAGTTGGCCCAAGACAGGCCTCGTTATTAACGATGAGCCGTCGTATCGTGACGCTCTCGAGTTGATTTAGTGGCACTACTGATTAAAGGAAGTTATACAAAAATTTGATTGCGCATTGTGTTGCAGTGTGGGGAGATGTGGCAACAGTGTAGTGTTTCTGCTGGAGTGTTTGCACACGTTGGTCGCCAGCCTTCCCCAGCAGATTCATAACAATCATCACTTCACAGCTTTCCTGTGGCAGAAGTTCTGTCCCGCGCTGATAGCGTTCCTCGGTTCTCCTCGCGTGGACAAGCACATCGTATCACGAGGCCATCTTGCGGCCGGAGAGGGTGGAGAGGTGCAAGGTCGTGGATCGGGCTGCCTTGCCACTGCTCCCAGCTTCAACAGTTCGGAGGCAAAAACCGTCTACAGGTTTGCGTCGTGCGTCGTTATTCTCTGGAGTCAGAATTAAAATTACACGCTTAGTAACTTACATCTTCAGATAGAGTCGGTATAAGTTTCAACTCGCTCGTTCTTAAGGCTCACGCTTTACGTTTACCCTGACAATTACAACGGCAGTTTTAGCCGAAACATTTGACGTGGTGACCGAAGCCCACAGTTTTAGCCGAAACATTTGACGTGGTTTAACAAGTGATGTGACCGAAGCCCCAAAGCTGGTGCCTTATAATGAAGAGTCAAGAGAAATATTTAATTTTTATGTGTCTGGTCAGATTTGCATACTTCGATATGCGGTTTTTGGTAAAGATAACAAAATTTGTTGTTCCAGTATCGGCACGCAGTTGGTGCGTCTCGTTGGGTGCGTCGGGTCTCTGAGGCCTGTGTTGGAGTCTGTGTTCCATCGGATGTTACTGTATCCGCCACCTCAGCATCGCCTCGAGGCTCTCAAGTCACTACGAGAAGTAAGTAGCGTCATGTTAATGGAGAACGGAGCTTCGAAAGCTTTCCAATAAACAACCACTTGACTACTCAATCGTTATGAATTAATTAGCTTAAGCATATGAGAAATTAGGATAGCGCTAGCAGTGCAGCTGCCCAGGGTTCATTTGATAATGAGGTGCTTCGACCGCAGTCGGTAAATAAATGTTATTGAATTTAAAAAGAAATTGATCGTCATTGAATGTGGTCAGTAACATTTGTAACAATTGTTTCTGTGGAGTGGAGTTACGACAGGACATCAACTGTAAGTAACAAGGGGAGGTAACGAGGAGATGTTGTGTTTAAAATGAAGAAATCGCCGAACGTAGTCAGCGTGAAACAGGCTGCAAGCTGTGAACGAGATTAAGGACTAACTACGTCGGCTTATTACTTGATCGCGAAGTATAAATGTGTAGAATTTGCTGTCACGGTGAAGGACGTGGAGGAAGAGCTCAGGTCTTTTTGCCCTGGAGTAAAAAAAAATTACTCCTGAATTAAAATGTATTTTTTTCTTATAGTATTTTACAGTAGCGTGATCAGGGACAGAACTACAGATTTTACTAATACGACTAAGGCAGAGGATTCTGATATTTTAATGTTTTCTGCTAGTTGCTGCGAAGTCCGAGTCGCATTGTGGATTTTGCTGGTCCGATACTGCTGGAGGATGACAAAGGATCCCAACAGCAGAGCGATATGGCGCTTATGCGGCTGTAAGTTGCGTGGAGTTTCACTTTTAGTCGTCAGGTCTGTCCAGGAAAATTTTGGGTAATACTGTTGTAAAAATATGTCATGACTGTTTGCGCTTTCATCATCCCAGTAGTCGTTGATCAGAAATTAATCAGGTAGATGAGCAGTGACATTTTAGCCTAGTGTTACTTGTGCAGAGAAGAGTTATGTATTTTCATGCCTTGATCAGGTTACCAAATCTAACGGAGGTTTTTCTTCAGTGTCTTTCGTAAGTATCTCGAGGTAGATGCCGAGCTAGCGGCTCGAAATAATTACTTCCTCATTCTAAGTCATTACCTTTTTGTCATTTGTGATTGTATTTTAACCGAGCAAAGCCCGAGGACCAGGCGTTTCGTGGCTGGTGCTTGTAGCTTGTGATGTTTTTTTGCAGAGTGATGGATTCCATAGAGGAGTGCAGCAGATCCGCAGATACGTCGGTGTGCAGTGCCAGTGTGGCGTGTATTGTTGCTATGTTGGGCTCACTGGAGGAGTTGTGTACTGGCAAAGGTATTACGCACACCTACATGGACCGAATAAATGCCATGTACGCACAGCTGGACCAATGTGACTACCAAGGTGAGATACTTATTGCTTCTGTGTTTTGACGTTGGACACGTGGCTTTAGACTTCAAATTTTCCAACCCTTAATGATGGGCGTAGCATAGAATGTCTGTTTGTTCTTTTGGTTGTGGTTTATTTTGCAGGTCCGTTAACTTACCAATCATTGCTGCGACTTCCGAAACCATATAGAGACTGTATTGAGCGTGAATTGATGGCTTCCCGGACTGGCATCACTGGAGGAGGGCGCGATGTTGAGAGTGACAGCAGCAGCGGAATTGAGCAGGGGGATGAGCCACCGCCGCGCGTGCACCGACCGCCATCACAGTGCAGCGATGGCAGCAATGCTAGTACAGACTCGGGAGAGACGGAAGGACCAGAGGAAGGCTTCAGCAGCGATCATGCTCAGGTGATGACAGATCTATTACGTGCCCACTGATACGTGGCATTTTCGTTTGACATCGCTCATTGTACGAGAAGGGCAACTGCGTGTTTTGTTTCTTTGTGATGCAGGTGGATGAGATGTTGGAACAGGTTGAGCTGCAGCGAGAACAGGAAGAAGCTCTCAGGTTAGAGAAGCTGCCCCGTACACTGCACCGTGGTGATGACGTGGCTGTTCACCAGGTTTGATTTTCCTCATTCTTGTAAAATATTTTACATGTATCTGTTTTACCAAACTTAGCTGCTCAGTTGTTAGCACTGCTGATTCATATTTGAGAGGTCCCAGGTTGAAATCTACGTCTGGAGGCGGGCTGTCCTGATAGAAATATTTCATGATCTTCCTACATGCAAATTTCAGGATAGAATCTTGAAATATACCACATCCTTTCCAATTCATTATTCATCCATTATCCTGTTAACTGATGATGAATAGTCTGAGCTACCAACATCATTAAATACAACATAAATAAATGAACTATTTTTGTTGTAACTTTTTCTGTTTAAGGTCGGTGAAGAGTACATAGATGTTGAGAGACACAGTGCCCGCCAGTTTGCTCAGACTCTCCAAAACTTTGTGCCCTCGCTGCTGACGCTTCGCAGCTCTGTTGAAGTGGACGAGGCGCTGCAAAAGTTCTCAGCCAAGTACTGCCAAGGTCCGCACACAATCTTCCTTTATCCAGACAAGAAAAACATACGAAAAGATAGCCACGAAAATGGCGAAACAGATACAGTATATGTTGATTTTATTTAAACCCCATGAACAGTTTATTTCTCTGCATTTTTTGTTCACGGTGCATATAATGAAACAAAACTTAGTGCACATTTTTAGGTTTTGTGTCTTTTTTGCAGGCCTGTTTTCTCAGCAGCAAATTTCACCAGACAACAGCAGCAGTACACATAACCTCACTCTTATAACTATCATCAATGCTGATGGAATTTACTTGGCCACTTATTCAGCTTTGCTTCTGAACTTAAAGCTTATTAAACAGGGGTACTACCAGGATCTACATTCCAAGCCAGTTCCAATGACAGAGGTTTGTATAAATGTGGCAGCTTGATTTTTTGTGGACTATTACCACCGGTTTGGGATATGCGGTACGTCTTTTACGAGACGGCAGTAAAGTTTGTCCCACTATACACCATGTAGGCGCTTGGGGGGTGTGGAGGTATAGCTCCTCTCTTCCTTGACCTCGGCACTAGATGGGGGGTGAGTGGTCGGCATCACGCCCCAGCCGGCTTTACCCCCGGGAAAGGACCCCGGTACCCATTGTAGAGGAGGCTGGGTGGGCCCCAGAGCCGGTCTGGACGCAGAGGCTAGAGGAAAAATCCTCTGCCCCCGTCGGGGATCGAACCCCAGTCGTCCAGCCTGTAGCTAGTCACTATACCGACTGAGCTATCCCGGCTCATGTAATATTTTCAGTGTTATATAAAAAGTTGTTGATGTCCATGCTGTGTTATGACCATTTTTCAGAACACTTTTTTACAGAAAAATTGAGGTAAAGATACAGACAAAGATCGGTGTGTGGTTATAAGAGTGTATGATAGATGGCATTTTGTACAACATCTTTTATATGTTCTTTTATCTGTTGTTTGTATGGGAATGAAACTTGGTTTCTCTGTCTGAGGTAAGAGCGTTGATTAAAAGTGTCTGAGAAAGGTTTTTACATATTCATATCTGTAGAAAGGCGTAATCTAACTGTTGCTTGTGGCTCGTTGGTTATTAGGAGCAGTTTGTAGAGAGTGTGCATGGAAGTGGGGTGCTGGTCTACCTCTCTGATACTTGGCTGTCGGAACTCTACCAGCTGATCCTCGCGACGAGCGTACTTGAAAAGTGCGGCTTCAATACAAACTCCAGTACTAACTATGCTCTCATTAACCTTCTCACAGGTAGCACTAACTTTTATTAATGGTACTGGGTGTGGTTGATTTGTTACTACGGTTACATTGGCCATTGTCACTTGTATGAAGTATAATCAGTATATATGAAATTTTGGAAGTTGACTGTACTCCTTTCTTCACCTGACTGATTACCGTGATACTTACGTATTTTTATTGATTTTTAATATCTGTCAGCATTCTTCTTTGACTCGTCATGAAGTCGCACCATTAAATGACCTGTTGTCGGTATTTTGACAACTGTATAATTACCTGAAGGTGTCGGTAGTGCCAACTCCTGAAACATTGCGTATATTTATTGTACCTCAGATATACAATAGCCAACTTAATTGTAGTGTAACCTGTAATTGTATGAGTCTAAAGGTTTGTGATTTGTTTTTTTATTGTCATGGTCATGTGCTTTACTTATGCAGTCTTTTGCTTTCTCTGCATGTATAAACAGATTTTAAGGTTTATAGGATTTTTCTTTGGCTTTTCTCAGATAAGTAGGCATTTTATTTAAATAATTTCTATATTTATTATAATAAAATGATTCATAACCTGATAACAATTGTTATTTTTAATGTGAGCGACAAATTTACTGCTGTGTGTGACCGTCTTGTCGGTGATTCCATTGTAATTTTTATAATATTTTCTTCCGTCATAGATGTGGACGGGCTGGATAGTTGCCAGCAGGGTGGCCAACTTCTGTCAGACTGTCAGCGGCTTGAAAGGGCTGCCACACATACTGACACCAGCCCAGAAGTTGATGCAGGTGAGAGGGTACAGACATTTTCTGCTGTTAAATGTGCTATGGCATTCTTTGATAACAGAGGTTCATAATTTCATATGAAAAGTGATATTATTTGTATTAAGTATATGAATTTAACACATGGGAAAGGTTACTGTATTTTCCCACACATTTTAAATCCAGAACTTCTGAATGAATTTAAAAAAATTAGTCTTGTGGTGTCTGTTCTAAATTTGTCAGGCAAGTTTAATTTTGGTTTGTATCAGCCCAATGTAACGGGTGCCTTAGATGAAGCCTGTATCACATTTTGTTGATTTTTTAAAAGAATGACCCATAATACAAAGAAATTGGCACTGACAAAACAAAAAACAAAAAATACAGATGTGATTAAGGGCTACAACTTTTGTTTGAAACCTGTCTTGATGTGATTAATATTTAAGAAACTATAAGAGGAAAAAATTTATGACTACAAGTTCAAAATTTATTGAAAGATATACTGATGATTATCAAGAAAATTGGAAAAAGAAACACGTAGAAAGAATGCAGAGAAATAGGTTACCAAAGTTAGAAAAACATAGAAATATTTATTCTTGGATGTGAGTTGATAGAGCTGGTTTTATAAACCCAAAAACCAACTGATTCAATATGATGATGTTGACTGCTTTCTGATATCTGCAGTGTAAACATTGCTCTGAACATTGTAGAATCAGTCTTCCAACAAAAATTTGTTTATTTTGTTTTCCAGGTGTGAAGCTGTCTCGTCGTGTGCTGACTTGTTGCTGGGATTCGATGCTTTCTGTTCTGTCAGCTGGTTTGGGTGACCCCAGAGGTCAGCTGGGTGTCACATCTAGCTTGGCACTACTTCTTGGGTCAGAAGGTGCTCGAGAGGAGCATCGCAGAGCGAGGGACAGTATTGTGGCAAGTCTAGAAGGTCTCCAGAAGGCTGCCCGACTCAGCAATATTTTAGGTAGACACACATTAATGTTGAATATTTATTTGAATTAATTTGTTTTAAATCTTTGCCAGTGTGGTAAGTTTGTTTATGAACTTTCAAAACGTAAATTTGTTTCTGTTTTATAAGCATGCCAGGGACATTGAGGTGGTAGCGTCTGTGAGCAAGCTGGGAAAAAGATGAAAAATTTCAGTCTGAAAATCTGAAGGGAAAGTACTGTTTGGCTAGACCTTGGTCTCCATTATTTCAAGATGTTCTCCTAGTCTTATATTTTAAAATCGTATGGAAAACTGCAGCATGTGGTGTGAGAATGTTCCGCAAAGCCCGTCTTGTACGTTAGAGAAACTTACTTTTTGTTTTTCTGTTTTTGAGACCTTACAGAATTACGGCATAAAAGTGCCGTCTCTCAAACTCTGTGATGCTCATCATCGCAGGTTTGAGCTTGCACCGTAACCACTGAGTTGCTAATCGGTACCATTCTAGCAGCAAGAACCATCATTTTCTGGCTCAACTGTGTGTCTCAAAGTTTTCTAGCAACTCTTGGTTGGCAACATTCTTTTAAGATCTTTCATTTTCAAAATATGATACCGCTTGTGCTGGTAGGATTGCAGAATCGGTGCGGTAGCGTTTTCTCCCTCCTTGCGACAGCAGCCTGCCCCGACACCAATAGTGGAGACAGAGTGGAGTCCCCTGGTAGGCACAGACTGGGACGACCTCGTAGTATGCTGAAGTTGCTGCAGAGGCAGCACAAGCTCCACACTTCCCATGCTCTCAGTATGGATGTCCTGTTGGGTCGAGGACTTGAACTCGGGAGCCACAGCCCTGATTGTTGGGCCCATGTGTTCAAGTTAGTATCATTTTTTATTTTGGGTTTTTTTTGTGTGAAAGTAAAGTTGAACTAGTTAAGTGTCTGGTCGTGAATTGGATGACCAAGAATTGATTGAATTGACGTTTTGACGTCTCTTTGAAGAACGGTCTGTTTGGCTGTTTCAGGTGTTGTGTTTATGTCAGCAAATTGGAGCATGGGTTTTTCAGCCAATCGCAGAACAGAAATTTGGGCCCAAAGCTGGCTATAAAGCATCCAGTTTCAAACAGTGATAAAACTTCAAATATGGACAGACCAAGTTTTACAGTTCAGGATGATGATGAAACCTGGTAAGTGTATACTTATAATTCCTTATGTCAACAAACTTCTTTTAACTGCGGAAGTTTGAGAATGTGCTCTTTTCTCAGCAACCAGTTTACATAAAGAAATTAATAAATTTTCTTCATGACGCTAATAGTGGATAATGTGTAAATTATATTACATTTTGTGCTAGCTCTCTACCTCCCTCCTCCCTCCTTTTTGAGGGGAAGGTGGTGTGAATAAGAGTTAATGAATAAACTTACATTGAAAATATACGCTTGTATTTTTACATCATCTGTGTTTATTGGTACGTTCGTATGGAAGTGATTGTGTAATGTATTTAATTGACACATTTTAAAACGTGTGTTTTTTCAGCATCGATGTATACAGTTTCTTGGCAACTTCGAGTGCCCCCGAGTCCAGTTCTGGATCTATTACGGAGTTGATTCAGGAGAGCAATGCAGACATCACATCACAAGGAGTGTTGAGTTACGAGTATGCAGCTAGGGTGAGCTGTGTACTGTCACAGCAGGTTGACAGGTGCGTGAAGTTCGATAACGTTTCTTGTGCTCCGTGTTTCACCGTCAAGTCCGTTCATCTATTCACGATATTAAGTAGGATTGTTAAAGTTAATGAATTTGTATGTGTCACTGTTCAGTCATTTTTATTAATGAAGGAATTCTTTCATCGTCATTCTTTTTAGCATATTTTCTTATTTCAGGCCACCCCCACCTTTGTTCTCTGTGAATGTATTATTTCCTATATGGGCTTTTCAGATTGTAATCTGGCAAATTATTTGGCTGTTTTAGGCTGTTTGATGATGCTGCGCTGAAGCTGAATCTGCAGGCCCTGACCAGTTTCCTGACAGCGCTGGTTGCAGCGTCACAGGTGCAGCTGTTCTCTACGTTATCACAGCATGCGGGGTCTTCCACTAATCCCGGATCAGTCAAGCGATGGTGGCCGCGGCGAGAGCGGACCTCCCGAGGCAATGCCAGCCCTCTGTTAGGAGGCTCCCAGTTATTGCTTTTGCATCGAGTTGGAGACGCGATGCTCAAAACTGTTCGCAGCGGTCGTCCTCTTATTCACGTGATGAGAGCCTGGTCAGTTGTTGGACCTCACCTTATGGAGGTAACTAAACCTTTTCCACGTAGCAGCACAATAGCAACAGATAAATCTTGTATTTACACTTCAGAGATTTCAGACTTGCTACTTGACATTCACATCCAACTTCCTGTTGTGTTTAATGTGGTATAACATTTGCATTTGAAAATGTTCTTCGGATAACGACGTACGAGTCAATCGGTAAATGAAGAAGTTAAAATAACCTTCTTGTAAGTAGTAATAGTATGAAGCATTCTAAGCATTGGGTTTTATTTTACAGGCGGCTTGCCACAAGGAGCGAGCAGTCTCGAAGAAGGCGGTGGCCTGCATCCACGATACAGTTATGGCAGTGCTAAATGAACAGGTGGAGTTGCCGCACTTCCACTTCAATGAGGCACTGTTCAAACCATTCGAAAACCTTCTGTGTTTGGAACTGTGCGACGTCGATGTGCAAGACCAAGTGAGTTGATCATGACACCACGAACCAGTTTATTGTATTGTGATCTGTTTTTGAGAATAGTGACCGTTTGATTGAGCCTTATTCGTGGAATTAGTTGTTTTATTAGACTGATACGGATTAAAATTATTTTTTCTTTGCAGATTTTAATGTAGATCGTCAATTATAAATTTAATTTAAATCTAGAGATGGAATGTGTGTGGACAGATGGATGGATGTACTGATGAACATGGGTTATCCATTATGCATTTATTTTATATAATTCATGCAGATAAATCATAAAAGCAGTAATTTTTAATTAGGCACAAGAGCTAAATGTCACAGAAAAATTGTTTTCAAATTATAAATAGAATTTCATACTTTTTTTTTCTTCTAATTTTATTTCTTCCTGAAGGAATTAGAAGTAGAATGAATTTAATTAAATATGAGATTTTAAGATGGGTGTAAACTTGAAATCTATTAATGTAAAATGAAATTAGCTCTTACCAAGCAGGTTTTTATAGCAGTAACTCTAAATTTATTTTCATTAATTACCAGTTTGAATGTCAGCTGTCTATTGAGATTTTAATGACTTTACTCAGTTTATCCTAGCAAATGATGGGATAACATCTTCTAACGACCACAGATGTGTCTTTATTGTTACCTTTTATGTTTGTTTTCTTATCTCATACGCCACTGTATAATTTCTGGATTTAAAACAGCATTTTTAAATAACCTGAGAATTTAACCAGTTACTTCTTTTATATTACAGATTGTAAGCTGTATCTGTGAATTTGTCGAAGCAAGTCGAACAGAAATTAGATCAGGTTGGCGGCCCTTGTTTGGAGCTCTGCGTGTTGTGAAGCTGTCGGCCCATCATTCACAAGATGAAACCAGCACAAGTCATTTGCATGCCTTTCTGGATGTCTTCGAGGTGTTCCTGGATACGGACAATCCGCTCGTGTTCTCCAATGCTGCCGTTGACTGTATCCTTTGCCTGTTGAAACATGTTCGTGGCCCCAGTAAGTTTAATATACCTTGAAATGTGAACAGAATTTAATTAAACGTATCAAACGTAATTTCAGTGTCGTTTATGACTTATTATGCAGGCGAACTTGAAGATGCACAAGCAGGCAGCAGTGAACCTTTAGGTTATGATGACTGTGTTCCGAACCCAACACTAGAACTGTGCGTCGCTGCTCTTAAGTTCCTCACTCGCTCTGCTGGTATCCTTGCTTCAATGTACAGCATGCCAGCATGCCCCATGTTCCACACAGCTCACAGGTAAGCGCTCGCTGCTTTCAGATGCGTGTGCCTTCTTAATTTCGGCAGAAACATTTTTTTATTACGCATGCCCCCAGAAGATCTTAACTACAATAACTCTTGTGTTTGATTTATGTTAATATTTTTCATCAATTTATGCTGTAAGTTTTAATTAACGTAGTGCATAAAGTACTCTCTTTGTTGGTAAGTTTTAAATGACCAATACAGAAATTTTTGGTTGTGGCTTTGGTTCTGCTATCAGAGAGTTCATTTAAGTACAGAATATTTGGTAATTGCGGTAAAGATATAATGAATTCTTCTCGGGCTACCAGCTGTGTCAGGCGACTTAATGTAGAAAACACCCGTTAAAGCGCCTGATATGGCTGGTAGCTCAAGAAGAATTTGATATTTGTCTCTTCTAGCCGATGATATGTAGCGGTAAAATTGCAATTTGTAACAGGATAATTATCATTTCAATTTACTGGACACCATAAGTGCACAAAGACACTTAACAGAAGTGCGTGTAGCTTTATGTAGAAATGAAATGTGGTTTTGCCTGCTGTTAGCTTATTTAACTTATTTACCAATCATCATCACATACTAAGCGAATGAAACGTAGAACTGACTACCTGCAACCTGGCGACCTTATATTATCCAGATGTCGTCTTGCATCCAAGCTTATATTTTAATTTTGTTCATTTAGAATTCAGCTAAATAACTGCCCACAGCAAGTGGATGCAGTACTCCCAAACATAGAAGTGGTCCATTTTGATGGGGAGGATGACGACGACTCCGGGACGAGCGACGCGTTGTATCAACCGCTCTGGCCATTGCCGAGTGACGCGTCTTCGCTGGATGCTGTGGATCAGGCTAGCGGTGTCTTGCGCGTGTTGTTCATGTTGTTGGAGGGATTGGCTAGTGCGACCGTGACGTGTCCTCGCAAGTTCCAACCTCACACTCTTGACGCACTATTCCAGCTGCTTAGGGACCTCATACACGTGCCAGGTCAGTAATGACATAATTGATTAAGAAGCAAAGAGGTCTTTGTAAATATTATTTGTCTCTCACACATAATTGCAGGTAGTATCGTAGACTAAAATGCTTGTATGTGCGTTATCAGGACCGCAGTTTGCCCTGCACTGCGTGAACCACCTGCTACTTCCCATGGTGCAGAACTGGTTGCGCAAGACGGGCCGCATCGTTCGAGGCTGGGACAACTTCGCACCCAACTTTAAGCAGTGCTGTGGCCTCACTACAGACCTCGTAGTTAACTTCCTCACCCAGCTGCAACAAGGTGGGGCTCCATTTTGATTTCAAGGATTACAAAACTTTCTCCTGTGAAATGATAATGCAGCCATTTTATAAAATATTTCATCATTCTTCATTCAGCTGTTTGTGTAACTTTTGTACAGTAATTACATTTATTAGTACAAAATTTAATTTAATCATGTAGGATTTGAGGTTTTCACAGCGGTGAGAATGAGTATGATGAATATTCATCGCCCCGATGACGGAGGCAGCATGACCTCCGAAACGTTGGTTAACATCGTCCAGACTACACAGCGCAACAACCCAGAAGACGGAAATCTTCTTAATTTAATTAATTTAAAATTTATTAAAATGTCAGCATTTCGAAAGGGACCTATCAGATGTGTTGAAATTACGAAAGCTTGCATCCTGCTTTAGTCCGAGCTTAGCCCTAGGTCAGAAGTAAAGCCCTATTCCTTATGCCAGGATTAGATCTCCATGAATACATATTCAAAAACACAAGTTACCGTCTGTTGTTGTTAGGTACGGAGTCTCCCAGCATCCCTCAGGCCACTCTGATGTTGAAACAACTTCTATTGGTCATGGTGGAATGCATTGTACAGCCAACAGAAAGCATTGCGAGACTGGGCTGTGCTTGTATAAGGTAAATCACAAGTTGTTTCCCCACAGTTCTTGTTTTCTTGTGAAATATGTGAAAAGAAATTGATATAATTGTGTATGCATGTTACAGTTCTTAATACATTCAGACTGATGTCTCTCATGCTGTTGTATTGACACAGCACAGTTTTGGTGGCATGTAGGAAATATCTTTCAGAAATTTCAGTGTTTCAAGGTTTATTACAAAAACTTTTGTTTTGAAACTTTGAGCCACATCTGAATGTGTTAAGTATTTCACTGCAGTGATTGAACTCAAGTAATTGGTGTGCACTCTTCTGATATCTCTTCTTTTTCGTAACTTCTTCAACTAATTACCCTAAAAGATATTTTAATATTATCCTTGGTCTCATAGGTGACTATATTTTTTATTTTTAACTAATTTTCTGTGTAATTCTTGCTTCTACGTACGTATCCAACCCATACTAACCTCTTTGATATTTGTCCTTTTGTTAGAGGAGAAAGTGTATCAATTCAAATTGCCTTGTTACAAGACTTTCTCCTCCCTGTGTTTATTTTATTTGTAGTGGGTCCAGATATTTTCCTTCACTCCTTAAAAAAATGATCTTGATTTCCATTTTCCTCCTGTAATTTTTGGATGTGACTTTTCACAAGACAGAACTAGAAACCTGCGTGTTAGCCAAGTACCATGTTGATGGAAGGAAAAGATTTCTACATGTGTCAACACTGTTACATCGATATCGACCAGGCTGCATATCGAAGTGTACCAAGCGATATATTGGAAGCGACTGGTCGATATGTCGAAATCGGCTAGTGAATATATCGATATCCACCAGGCGATATATTAATTTTTTTCAAGTCGATATAAAAATCGACCGGTGTATATATCGAAATTGACCAGTCGATATGTTGAAATCAACCTTTCAATATGTCGATATCGACGAAGCGATTTTTAAAATGCGGCCAGTCGATGTACCGAAATCCACCACGCGATATACCGACATCGGCAATGCTAAACAGGTAGGCCCCGCTTTACGACGCTTCAGTTTACGCTGTTTCACATTAACGCCCTTTTAAAATAATAATGAAAAAAATAAAAAAAATATCAGAAGAAAATTTGAAAACGCAAGCGTAAACGCAGCACACAAAGTGGGTACCTAGGCGGCGCTAGTGTCGGCGCCAGTTGCTTCTTCTCGTCCACCGGTACAATACATTATAATTCCTCCTCGATTTACGCCGCTTCAACTAACGACCCTGAGGAGGTGGAACGTAACCCCGACGTCAATTGGGGCCTACCTGTATATCCATATCACCCAGTTGATATGACCGAGCGATATATTGTAAAACGACCCGCCGATATATCGAAATCGACCATGCGATTTATCTAAACAAACCATGTGATGTATCGAAATCAACTAGTCGATATACCAACTCGACAAATCGTAAAACCTAAATGTATAGGCGATATATCAACGTCGATCTATCGATATATCCTTACTGAATGTAACCAAACCCAGAGTGAGAGATGAGATGTGAAGAGAAGAGGAAGGGATAGAGAGAAGGAGAGAGGAGATCAGTGGTGAAGAGAAGAAAGGTGGTGAGAAAAGCCAATTGCAAGTGTTGAGTCATAGATGAAGCTCCTAAATTAATACTGCTTCATGCTTGTCTCAATGAGAACCTGAAATCTGACATGGCAATATTAATTTGCAATGTGTTTTAATGAAACCTAAAATCTTATGTATTTTATTATTTTTGTTCCTTTTACATATGATCTATTGTGTGGTGTTGTTCCTTGAAGTTTACTGATCAAAATTTTTTATGCAGGTTTTACTTTCTCTGTATTTGTTACATGTTCCACCGGTCTCATTCTATTTAATAACTATTAATACCATGTTCCTTATTATGTGTGTTTGTGCCCTTCTGTATTCATAAAAGGAACACAGATTTAAGTTAAAATATTATTTTAAAAAATGACGTGTGTTTTGGTTTTGCTTTCAGGTTTCTTTATTTTTTTCTTTTTGCTACCATTTGTTTTGGGGAAATTGCACTGTGTACAGTACGTGCCTTGTGGCTAGTGGTGAATGACTTCCTTTGATGTACAGTGACTGATAGACTGAGAATTGCCTCTCCCCTAGGGGGACATTTTTCATTGTGTTATTTGAAGGTAGACCCCATGTGGTGATAAGTATGTGAGTGAATGAGTGGTGAGTGGTCAGGATGTCACCAGTACAGTAACAGCCCCAAAATTCTGATATTATTGCCACTTTGAATTTAATAAGCAGGTAGAATCCACATCCTCTTCATAATTGCTTCTTCCTCTCTTTCTCCTTCTCCTCCATCATGATTGATGCTACTATTATTACCACCACCTCCATTAATCTTTATCATTATCTCCTTTGTTCTTGTCCTGTCCCTGATTCTGCACCTGTTGCATGTTTTACTTCTAACCATCTGTTCCAGAGTCTTCTTATTAGTACGTTTGATGTTGTCCAGTTCCCTAAATTCTTTTCACATGTTTTCTTGCAAAATTCTTGAGCATCACGTGATTTCCACTTATTTTAAACTCGCTTTATTTCCCTCGTATCATCTGTATGACTTTGGTGGTCCAGTTTTGTAAATCACAGTAGATATCTTGTGTGAATTTGAAATTAAAATTCTTTAGCCATGATAATTTCTTATGAGGGCAAGGTACCGGTTTCTGAGGTAAACCGATCTCTTAACATTGACGGTGGTCTATGGGACCTCCCTCAGACACAGTAATCAACACCCCTTTTCCATGCTCGTTCCTTGCCGAGTGGTGCTGCGTGTGTTACTTCCTGTTATCGAAGAAGCTAGGTTTACTGTGTTAACAAAAACAAATTCTGGAAATCGTTTGTGATGCCCAAATTCCACAAAATGCTTCGGTATATGCAGTTGGACTGTCACGAACAGTAAATTAATGGAAAATGCCATAAATAAGGCCATTTCTGCATTTTTCAATATCAATTTCAGCACATTATTCATTAATCATCCCATATGAGCTACTAAGAGCGCAAATTAAAGAAACCACAAAATCGTGTGATTTGTGAAGGAGGTTATGAATGTGTGGGGGAGGGGGTGAGAGAGAGATTAAAATTTTATTGCATTCATTTCGTCATTATATTTTAGTGTTTTAGAGCATAGCTTAAAGGAGCCCCTGAGGATGGGTGGGAACTGTGACCGTATTCTTAATTTTATAAAAATCTTCAAAGTTGGCTTTAAAAATGAGTTCGTTAGTGTGTGATTTATATAAAATGCAGACTACGCGCACGTAAATAATACCACACTAAGACGACAGCTTATCTCAGCCTGAGAGCTCATTTCACACGCTGCGATACCTGACACCGTGTCCTGTGTAAGTTTGCCTGATTCATACTCGCTGTGGCAGTTTTTCATTTAGTAATGGATCCTTGTGATGATATCTCTAGTGTCAGCAGGTTATGTGATCATTTGGGCGTGCGTGTAATGAATGACTCCTGACATCACCCGTCACACTGCATTAGCTTGAACTACAGTCAGAATGTTCTGGTGTTCCTTTACTCTATGCTCCTTATATAGAATGGGATTGTATTTCTGACGTCATTTCTTGGACGGAGGGGTACGTAGCAGGTTTGGTTCATGGTGTAGTGTTTCTGTTTCATTCTGGTGATATTTGGTTCAAAACGTTCCGAGTGACTAGCTGGTTATTTTATTTATTTGACAAAGCTTTTACACTTACGTAAGTTTCGACCGATAGAATAATTGTGACAGATTGGAAGGATGTGGTACTCTTTTTTTCAAATATTATTTATGATGATCAAATCAGAGAGGAAGACTCAGGCAAGGCATGTAGCATGCATGGCGGAGAAGATAAAAACATACAAAATCTTTGTTGGAAAACTTGGATGTTTTATTAAAATGGATCTTGGGAAAATGAAGTTTGAAGGTGTGGACTGGATTTATCTGCTTAGGATAGGGACTAGTTGTGGCCTTTGTGAACCTACTAATGCACTTTCTGGTACCATAAATGCCAGGGAATTCTTGACTAACTGAACACGCTGTATTCTTCTCAACAGAAGCTTTGGTGCATGGAATTAATTTGCCATGGCCTGTATTTAAGGTATTAGCTCAGGGGGACTGGGGAATTCTGACAACTTTCAGTCGGGGCATTCATTCTCCAGGCTGTCGTCTCAAACTGGGATATCGCATATAAAAGGGATATTGACCACTACGCTGTCACTGTCTGGAGAAGTGACCAGCTGTCCTGGTTTCATGGTTTCTGTGGATTTTCACAGTCTCTGTAGCCAAGTGTTTGCATTCTTCCTTGATATAGGAACTTATTGCTTTCTTTCATATCCTCACCTTCCAAGAATTTCCCTCATATTTATTTCTTATTTCTCCTATCCAAGCCGCAGCTGCTAGTTACGTATTTGCTCATGTGCTAACGAAAAAGGTGATCTTTAATTTTACATTGATCACTTTTGAGTGTTGACCGATATATGATCCTAAGTGTGGGACAAGTTCTAACCCTTTTTTCAATGATCCTGTGTATTTAAATATATGTGATCCTGATTTGGGAAATTTTTGACCCTAAAGAAGTACGCAAATGACCTTCGGCTTTACATTGATCTTTCTCAGACATGAGATCTTAACTGATGCTAGCTCAGACCCCAGACTAGTCCTAGACAATGCCTTGGTTTTACATTAACCTGAGTGGTAGGCGACCTTTGGCTTTACGTCAAGCCTGTTCGATCTTTTACAGACATGTGATCCTGAGTGCAGGGCCAGTTTTGACCCCAGACCAGTGGCATATCACCTGTCTCGCACTACACAGAGCATGTTCCGTGTCTCTACACTCCCTGCAGCAGCTGATGGTTGCATTCTGCCCTGGATCACACAGCTTCTATGGCGACGTAGGTCAGGTGAAAGTGGCAGCCCGCAGAGACTGTACAACGAGGGAGAGTGAGCGCCTCCGACAACTGGCACAGCAGGTAACTGTAGTCGCAGGAACTGAGAAGGTTAATGTTTTTTTAATCTTCATATAATTTTGTTAGGATTTTTTAAGTCTATAAGGGTGGGGTGTGTGGAACATGAAAAATGAGAGAAGTATACAAAATTTTGCTCAGGAGACTTCAAAGGAAAAGATGACTTAGAAGTCTAAGTCTTGGTGAAATAATAATATTAAATACTTCTTAGAGAAATATGATGTGGAAGTGTGGACTGGAGTGAATTAATTTGTGATACAGTCCAGTGGAATGGAGATGAAGCTTTGAGTCCCATAAACGAAAGGAATTTCTTGATTAGCTGGGTAACTATAAAGTTTCCAAAGAAGAATCTGTGCTGTGGACTTCATTTTGATTATAAATTGCAAATGAGGAAAATACTTTTATTTCACCTTGTAATTGTATGGACTGTGATTGGTTTTGCAGGTATTCTTGCTCGAGGGACAGCGCGATGTGTCTGTAGCCCCCGGGCAATGCTCCCGTTCTGGCAGTGTCGGAGATGGGGGAGTGGCGTCAATTGGGACCTCAAGTGGTGAAGAGAGGAGTTACATCTTTCTGCTCTACCCTCCAGACCTGAGCCATACCCTGAACCCTGACCTGTTCATCGTGCGAGTACCGTTCCGCAACTTGGTCGTGGGTCTACTTGCCCACCAGATGCTGCTGCAAACGGTGGGCAGCGTGTTGCTGCAGGGAACGGCTCATGTCATTCCGAGGTAACTTTTGCTCTTATGTATCATCTTTACGTGGCTTGGGTGCGGAAGGATGGCCGGATGGACGAGTGATTATGGATGGATGTTTGACTGAATGAAAGAAACATATGAACAGGTCCATCTGCTAGTCCAGGCTTTAACATATAATTGTAGACGCAATTGAGATTTGTACTTACTGAAATAATTTTGTCCCCCACAGCTTAGCTAACGTACTACTTCAGAGCCCAGCTTCCGCTCCTCTTGACGGCTCTGGCAGTCATCCTTCTGGTGAGCAGCAGCAGCTGTCAGGCCTCATGCGCTACATGTCGCCATCACACATACAGATGCTTCTGTCCTGCCTCGATCTCTCGTATGAACGTGCCATCGCATTCGACTCGCGTCCAGGTCTCAAGTTTCTGGTGCAGAGGGTAGCGGGACTGGAACGAGCAGCCAACCTTTATCGCCAGGCTGGTGCCGCATGGACCATCAAGGTGGTGACATTGTTTGACCTGTGTCTTCATGAAGTTGGTCGCAGCGGCGCCACGCTGGATAAGGTTAAGAGGATCTTGGAAGATGAGCCTCCTGGACACACAGAGGTGAGTTGCATGTAATCATTTCTCATAAATGCTTCACTCTGCTGTGCACTGCGGACTCTGCTAATTACGTTTATTCGCTCCGAAATGTTGGGTAATTGTCACGGTATGTCACAACTGTTGTCTGCTCGAGTTATGCAGTGACATTTGTCTGTTTTTCTGTTTCAGGTTGGAAGTACTGATAAGAAATCAGGCTGGGAGGAAAGATGTATAAATAACTCGGACAAATTGAACTCCGGCTCGCTCGGTGAAGGTATCATGCAGAGTCCTACCTCACTAACGAGCGGCAGTTGCGATGAGTACGGAGACATGGCCGTGTTTTTGTACCGTCTTCGGGCTAGTTTTGACCAGCTGTGCGAGACGTACGTCGACGTAGTTCTCGATAAGGACGGTCAGCACTCCGCGGTGGATCGCATTGCTGATGAACCGATATTCTTCCTGATTGCCCAGCCTAACGACTTCCCCGAGATCCGACATAAGGAATCTCTGCCGCACGCATCCGTTACATCCACCGCCACTAATTTCTCGTTCGAAGAGAAGAGAGAGTTTGCGCCCGCGACCGAAACTCCCCGTCCCGTTAGCGTTACCGCTTACAATCTGGATGACGTGCAAGGCAAGAAATTTAATCCAAACCCAACTGCTGGTGAAAATGGATCTGAAAACATAAAAGATGATCTCCGACATGACGAAGATACGTCTCTGATGCCGGAAGTGGAGTCACCTATTGATTCAGGTGATGAAGATGTTTTCGAACAGCCAGCAAAAACAAAAGATAATAAAACATCTGATCGCCCATTTGTTCTGGCAGATTTTACTAGACAGTCGTATTCGACAAGCGACAGCGAGGCAGATATGAGGGTGGAAGATGCACCAGAACAAGAAGATCGCCGTGGCGACGAAGGCGACATAACCGAAGATGCCGTCTATGACGTGGCAACTGAGAAGGATATAGCAAATCTGATGGGAGAATATAAGAGACGCAAGCAGACGAGATCGATGCCTCCGAGGAGGAATCCATTCTGCTCTTCCAGGACGGACTCCCCGCCACTGGGCCACCCGCTTCCGAGCCAGCCGGTGCCGCTAGAGATCGAGCAGCAGCGACGCAGCAGCTTATGCAGGGTGAGTTGCTGTCCGGAAAATAACGTAATGAAATCTGGAGGTTCTTGTATATTTCAGACTGCCAGGTGTTTGATATGAATACGAAAAATTATCAAGTTCACTTCTGAACGCTTGCTTTTAAAGTGATGGAGCATTTTAGCATCGTTTTTGTCGCCGGTAAAATGACTCTTTTCAGAATCATCGTATTTGGGGAACTCGTCTTTGACATCACTTAATTCCTTTTATCAACGGGTCGGTTATTTAGATATTTGGCGGTGGAGGTTGTTCTTAAATCCGTCCGCGACGCGAACACGAGAAAATGTTTGTCGCTAATTCAAGCAGTTTCTGAATCCACTTCTCACGGATTATTGTTTGGATGTTTGATCTGCGTCAGGAAGGCGGACTACAGCGGATTGTGGTTCATAACGGATTGATATCAACTAATCGTAAGGGATATAGGCCTACTTTGAAGATAGCGTCTGGCAGAAGCTTAATCTTTCATTTTGAGAGATTTTATTATATTTAACTTTTTCTGTTATGTATAGAAAGTTGTTTCATTTACGTTTCCTGAGAAATGACTTGTAGTAGGTATTCTTATTCTTATTCTTCTTCTTCTTCTTCTTCTTCTTCTTCTTCTTCTGCTTCTCTCCAGTCCGTATTCGGTCCATGGCCTCCTCAATCCTCCTCTTCCATTCGGTCCTCTGTTAGGTCCGTCTGTCCGAGGCTTTGATCGAGGTTCCGAAACGTCTTCCTTTTTACGGTGCAAGGTTGTTCGCCTTGCGACCAACCCCCAACCTGGTGGACCTGTAGTACGTATATTTAGATTAATCACTGACATCAGTATTTGTTTTTTCGTGGGGTTCAAAAATAACTTCATATAAAAGAAAATGCATATATGTCATGTTCCATGATGGAAGCAACGGGTCGAAGTTAGAAAGTGTTCATTTCTTTTATGGTTGTAACGAAAATACGATCTGAAACAGTTCAAATTATTCCTTCAAGTAGAATTGCGTAGAGAAAACGCATCTGTTTTCAGTTGATCGCCACAGGAGTTCCTAGAAATTCTATCTTTGATCTCAGAAATTCAAATGAGAAGGTTCAGTCGAGTTTTTGATGCGACACCCATTTTAAGACCAAGGGAATATCATTTAATCGGCGTTTATAAAATATAATTTGAATAAACTGAGTGAGAGAGGAGTCCCTCAGAGCTGCTGGAATGCCAGGCCACTGGTCACTGTCAGCGCGCTATTCAAATGCCATCATCAATCAGAAGCGAAATGAGCGCGTTGCTTGGCAAGGGGCACGCGTTGACCCCCACCATCTTCATCAACACACTGCCCCCTGCTAGCTCTTTGGTGTGTAAGTACTGGAACAAATAACAAGTCTTCAAGCAGTGTTCCCAACTTAACCCTGTCTGTCTCATGAGGAAAGTTGGTATTCATTTCATGCAGCGTTGAAGTAGACACGTGATAATTTTCATATAATCTAGCCTTTACGAACGTAGAGCACGAGTGTTTGAATCTCGCAACTTACGATTCGGCAAATAGACATCAGAAAATGGCGTCATTGCAGATTTAATTGGCTAGTGTAGCCACAGCTGGGGGCCATTTAAATATACGTGAGATTTGAAGTCAGTACCATTCAGATACGAGTTTAAAGCGTTAATTGTCACACCAATTGACTTGGTTCAAATCTAGATGCGAGTTACTACGTTCACACGGCGATTTTGAAGATGATGGTGATAAATGTCGGCAACTGCATTTTGAACTGGAGGTAAAATCCACACGTTTCTTTGTCAAGCTCGAGTCAGACTGGTTAAAAAACTGGACAGTCAGTATTAGCGTTCATATTCCAGGAGGGCTATTGACGTTTTCTCTTCACCACCTCCAAAACGGTTCAAAGCTTACTCACCTCCTATCTGGTGAGTTCTGTGTCCTCTTTCCTTGGGGCCAAAGAGGTTTGGATGTGACTCGTGTTCAGGTCTTACCGAGGCCTGCGCTCCCGTAAGCATCTGTGGTGTGGCGTGGCGTTTAAGCGAGATGTTTCTTTGGTTTGTTTTCTCGTTAGAGAATTTTCTCTCGCTCGTACTCCTGTTGTCACCCTGCTGGAGATCACAAGATCCTGCTGAGTAGTAAATTATCACATTGTCACTACCTGAAGCAATCTTAAATCATCGGTGTTTTATCTCGACGTGTTAATGTTGCAAGAAACTTGACAACAGTGCGTCATGTAATTGCTTGTGTCTTTTTTCTAATTACTTATATATCTTTGCATGTCTTAGAAGCCTTCATTTTTTGCTCTGTGTTAATATAGTTTCTATTTTGGGTTTGCCTGTACTTGGCAGTTACATTTAATACTGTTCATGTATAAGTTTAGTTAATCTGTTTGTGTACTATTTTTCATTATTATTTCATTATTATTGTATGTACGAGGCGCGTCCTCAAAGTAAGTTTTCCTGGTTCCGTTTACAGAAACAAAACACAATTTCATGTAAATATTTATTGCAACAGATACAGCAAGTGTCTAGCTATTTTTCAACATATTCGCCACCGGAATTGAGACATTGGTCATACCGTGGGACCAACTTTTGAATACCTGTGTCGTAGAAGTCTGCCGCCTGGGATTGGAACCACTGTGTGACAACCATCTCCGCCTCTCTTTCATTCTCAAAACGCTGACGCTGACCGGACAGGAATTTCTTGAGGTGTAGGAAAAGATGGAAATCACTGGGAGCGAGGTCCGGGCTGTAGGGTGAATGATTAAACACCTCCCAGCTGAACTCCTGCAGGAGACTTGCTGTCCGTCGAGCCGTGTGCGGCCTAGCGTTATCCCTGACCGCACTTCACAGTCGGCGGGGGCTGGAATAAGAACCTCCATCTTCAACAGCTGCAACGATGCTACTGTGAGAATGCGGGAAGTGCCGTTAGTGCATGCGCCATGCTACGTCATTGCTCTATCACGTACGCACAGTCGCTTCGCGCAATATAAGGTTTGCTAGCTGTGGGACGAGTGGGAAACTTACTTTGAGGACGCGCCTCGTATGTAAAATTATGGGTGTTATATTTCTTGTTTTTGTACGGGTATGAAACTTGGTCTTTCAGTCTAATGAACAGTAAACAGATTTAAGGCACTGCTTTGGAGGCCAAGTATTTGTCTTAGGGAAATAAGTTTGTAAACACGATTTTGAAGTTTTGGCTATCTTTGGATGTCTTTTGACAGCTGAATAACTATCAGCTTTTAGAAGCAGAAAGGCACTGATTTTGTTATTCCTGTCAGGGTTTGTTTTTTCCATAGCTGGTGAAAGCCAAACTTGCTTTCTCTCCTCTCCGTCATTTCCTTTTCGTCTTCTTTTTTTTCCAATCCAGACCCCCTTTGATTCTAGGACCCTCATGGAGTGACGCAGATGTTACCTGGCACTGAAAGGTTTTAAGACAGTGAAGCTCGCATATTTTTTTAAAAAAGGATATGTGGAATGGCCGTTCCAAAAGATGCAATTTTTGATGATGAAAGAGTTCAGTGTTTTATCATAATTTTTCCTCTCCCACGTCTTCTTTTCTCCCATACAAAATTCCCTTTGCTCTTAGGACCCAATTGAATTTTGTTGTGGGATACTCAATGTTTTAGGACAGCGAAGCTCACCGCAAGGTCTGGGCTGAAATGCTAGGGTCAGTGTTTGACCTGCTCGCCCAGCTGGACGATCCGCACTTCAGAATTCTTCTCCCCGTTCTGTTCCACGGTGTTCGTCGCCTAACAGCGCACGCCACTGACCCAGGGCTAAAACAGGCCGTCGCAGAATTGTTTCACAGAGTCGCCATGATGTATGGGTTTAGTCCCGAGTAATATGTACGTGCACGTTTCTGTCAGGTTTCCTTGTTTTACGCAACTTCTGTGTAGGACGATGATGCTGTTGCTTACGCTGGATGAAAAATACTACCCTTGTAATTAGTGTCTGGGGTTTTCACTGTAAAAAGATTAATGCTGACTTTCACAGATGCCAAGAAATCGGAGGTACCCGAAAAAGTACAGATGACGTGAAACTCGGATGAATAGATCAGAAGGAAGACAAGGTTTTTTTTTGGAAAATATTTAAATTAGGTCAGAGTTGAGTAACGCAATGTTACAGCTTTTACCAAATGTCAATTTTCCCTTATTTCCACCGTCGTCGTGTCTCGTTGCAGCCAGGAATGTAGCAGAAAATGTCGCCACAGACATTGATTGCAGTTGATTTGCGTTGTTAAAATCGTGTCTGAATAAGTCGGCCACTAATCTAGTTAGTTGGAGTAATCCGTGACGTAAGGGAAATATTTTTTGTCCAGTATTTGACAATATTCGTTCCTCGTTTTAGAATTTTCCGTCTAGTCATTTTTAAAATGTGAACAGGGGATTGGAAATAATTTATATTTGTCATTTATTAATTTATGTCATATTTATTTTTGTGTTTTGTTTCGTGGAAGACGCTGCCCCTGGGGCTGCACACCCAGGGGTAAGCATAGACTAATAGGGCAGCTTTTGACGTGTAATTCTGCTAAGACTAGAGTAGACAATTCAGGTTTTGTTTTTAAGTGAAAATCTGTAAAATTGTTATTATTCAGTTTTACCCCAGGTGTAATTATTAACAGCTCTTGATTATTTTATTGTCAGTGGCGTATTATGGGGGGGGGAGAAGGAAAGAAAGAAAGAAAGAAGGTCCCATACATTTATGTACTGCATTCTTCAATGTATGTTCTATGATTTCAATATAACTTATTGTGGGTCTTAATTCAGGGGCCGTAAAGTAGTTAATGTCGATAATAGTGAGATATTTGAAGAGGAAGACGATTAAATTCTATACAAAAGGGCACTTTAATATGTGTGTGTATATTTGATTGGCGTAATTTGATTAATTGTAATCATGTATATGGCAACTGTAACTAATTGACTGATTAATTAGCCACTTAATTGGCTACTAAAACATAAGAGTGGCTTGATAAAGTAGTGTATAACGTTTGAATTTTGTGTCTGACCTTATTGATCCATTAAACTATAAAGTAAACCCTCTTATTGCTAATCCATATCTTTGGCTTTTCTCAGTGTTTTGTATACTTACTCTCATCGGCACATTTTGCATGCGCTGACAACCAGATGTGTGTTTTATTTGTTTAATGTTTTCGCTATTTCGATATTTTGTGGGGTTCTTATCGGTTAGATTTAATGTTCTTTGAATACGAACATTATGAGGAAGTTTCGAGTTGGTATGTTGAACAAAATTGAGCTTGCTTAAGAGTAATGTAGCAGGCGTGAGATTGGCGTTGTTATGTCTGAGATTCAAAGCAGTGAGGATGTAGACTGTAGTTTCGTAAGTTGTAATGCTGTTTGGTGTTGTCTTCGAGAAATATATTCTTCCAAAAGGTCAGTAACCGCCTGCAAGATCACACAGAAAACTGCGATTGCATGTGTTAGAGATTTCTTCTTCCGTAGTTGTGTTCGGAATTGTTGGGTTCCCTCAAGGTGTGGTAGCCCTGCATTTCCTAACAGAAAATTACAGTTTATTATTATATAAGATATGTTTTATAGAAGTTAATTCTTCGTCATTTATGAGTTGAAAAATATTTTCGTTGGCATTTATGACGTTTTGTTATTGAAGAAAGAAGTGTTTTTAGTTTACTGTATAGATCTGTAATGTGGAAAGTAAATTTATTGTGATTCCCATATTTATGTCCACTATATATACGCAAGAGATAAATGTTTTGACGTGTATCCTGTAGAAAGGAAAATACACAAAATAATTTCAGTTGTAAGCAGTAAATATTAACTTATATTTACATGTTCACAATTACGTAAGAAAGTGAACACGTCATATCGTACTAACAACGAAGCAGATTGATATTAAATGTTACAGGGTATCAGCGTTGTCAATTATGATAGTGCGGTAACTGATTTGGAATTTTATATTCAAATATTGCTTCCCTTGAATCGATCATTGCCTTATCAATCAACGTCATGCAATGTATGCACTTCATAAAACGTCTTTAAGGAAACAAAGATTCATATTTTCTGACATTTCCAGTCTAATCATCGATGTCGGATTTATATTTCAAAATGACGATCCATAAAAGAAAGTTGTGTTAATGAGGACCCCGAGGTCTATTTGGAGTTACTATCGCAGTCTAGAGGACGTGAGGAAAACAACGACAGATATTAATCGAGATAGCCAAGATAAGTAACCGGGTCACTTGTTACAAGACTCAAAAATATTCGTCTTTGTGGGTTATCGGACTTTAAGCCAGTGGACGGATACGAAATCTGTGTCTTGCTGGTTTTCAACTCGGTATTGAAATTGAAAGATTCAGACCGGGGGACAAACTTCCCGACAAGTTGTGGTTTTCCGTCCTGACGTCCTGTCACCTGTAAAGTGCGTCGCTCGTTTCAACTTTTATGATCCTTCATCATATTATAT